AAAAAAAAAAAAAATTCTCATGTTAAATTAGTCTGAAAATCATACGACACATTAGGATGATGATAAAAACCAGAAAGTACAATTTGAATAATATTCTGACCACATCCACATCCATGCAGGTGACTAATATTGTGGCATCATTAACTGATAGTTGTTTCAGCTCTCTGCCTGGCTCAAATGGATCACTACATCTCACCAATATGAATATTATTGATAACGAAGGTGTAAAAACAAATGAAGCAGGCATTTATCTATTATAGGTGTGATTAGTGTGTTCAGAATATGGGTTCATATTCATTAATATAATGTGTATTCATACACATGCACAAAGCCATTTTGGTGTAAAAGCACAAGGGAAATAAAACATTCTATTTCATAGAAGACAATGCAGAAATATTTTTAAAGGGAAAGACTTGGAATTTAAAGCCATAAAAACAAGTTATTATTCAAATATTCTGGAAAACCAAGGTTGATTTAATTTGTATTGCACCTTAATTATTGGAGAAAGACAATACTGATTTCTGAACATACAATGAAATGAGCAACATAAGTGATCGGTCCTTCACAGAGATGTTTTATGTGTAATTGGTGACAGGAAGCCGAAGTTTGGCAGTGAAATGGATGATTTTGTAGAAGTATGTAATGCTGAGTTAGGTTAAGTGTTAATTTCCTAAACAGTTAAATGAAAGATGCCACAAAGTCTCTCAAAGTCCTATGTTTCATATTTCATTAGGCATAAAATACCAAAGATGCTTCTAAATACTTTGAGTTTTGCAAAAGTGCTCGATTATACTTAATACTATTGTGCCACATATGTTCTACATAAACGTGATGACTAAATCAATAACTAATTATAATTTTGATGAGAATGGAGATTGAAAAATACCATTTATGTGTCATTATTATCCATGGATTAATTAAAATGTGACTGGTATACTATGGTGCCTTAAAACATTACTTTTCTCAACCTCAGATGCATCATAAAAACCAAGAAACACATGGATAACCAACTGTATTCATAAAGCCTCAGTTTGGTTTATTTTGCTTCTCTCCGTCGGCAGGGGGAGCACAGGGCCTGGCTTTGGCACACTTTCTAGATCAGTTAGGCTGTGGCTCTAAATTGGCCCCTTGCGTGAGGACCTTTCTCCAAGTGCCAAGCAGGACTCCTAGGCTGAAGGCGTCGTACATGAAAGCAATGGTTTCGCATGAATAACACATTCTTTTCGCATATAGTTTCCATGACCAGTAAAGTCCTGCACACCCATGGCTCTCCCCATGAGCATCGTACAGTCTGGAGCACCCAGGACAAAGCACGCTCATGCAAAAAGGGTGTGCCCTGGCAAATTTTTAATAAATGGACAGTTAGATATGTAAAAAGTTCTCTTTCTTGATTCTTGGTGCTCACAGATCACTGAGGGATCCCTTCTCTGAGCAGCACAAAACAAGAAGAGCTGGTTGACAAAACATTTTCGTTACAAAGGTGTGTCAACCCTGAGCTTGGAATTAAGAAGTTAAAATCTGTGATTTATATATATAGATATAAAAATAGATGATCATACTAAGACTAAAAAAGTGAAAGAAATCTCCATGTCAATACTATATATATATATTTTTTGTCTTGACTTCTTTTGTTGTGAGTTATTTTGTAAGAGAATGCCCTTGTGATGCAGAAACCAATTGACACAAAGCAAATAGTTAAAAAATAAAAACTCACTTATGGATCTAATTGCTTATCAGTTCATTAAAAGAACTCTTCTTTCGGGAGGTTTATGAGGACAGGGGCAGAAACATCTAATTAATGTCTAAGCTGTGGCTCAAGCAAAGTGATTGTTTTGTTGAAGATTATTTGCAATTCAGACCCTTGAAGAGGATGAATTGATAGGGATGTCCACTAGTAACTGAAGATGAAGGGGAAAATCTGTGCCAATTGAATACGGTGGACAGACATTAAGAGAATTAAGAAGAACGATGCCGTTACTGCAATTGAAATTGAGCAGGGTGAGAGGTGCTGAGTTGTAACAATTTTTTGCTCTCATGTTAAAGACAGAATCCTAAATTTTAGTATCAGTACCTCTAAATCAGTTTGGTATCGTGTGGTTAGAGTGCAAGATGATACCTCCAAGACAAGAGTGTATTTTCACTACATTAAAAAGTTTTTTCAAACTTTCTCCCCATAGCATTTTGTAAACCCAATTAGTCACAGTAAAGCTTACACTGGGAGTTGCTTGGCAATGTTGAACTTAGAACATTAAATCTGTTTTATTTTTCTCTCTCGTTTGCTTCTTTGTTGAAAATGCAATTGTCTTGGGGTTTGGCCTGATTTTACAAAAAAAAAATTTATTTTCTTCCTACCTTTTTGTTGTTTAAATGGAGGGGGAAAAAACTCACAACGTGAAATTCCTTTACTTTTGCAGCATAAAAGCAAATGAAGGTAAGAAAATCTCCTGGTACGAAAGATTTGAGTAAGAATTCTCTAGAATAAACAAGGTCCCCACAGATAGCGAAGGAAAGGGGAAGCAGTCCAGTCTGGCACCCGGTATTCTTTGGGAAAACAAAAAGGGAGGCAGAGTGCAGTACTGCTCTCTTCTTATAGAAAACGGTAAGTTTTTGTGGCATGGTCCATTGTCCAAGAGTGTAAGAAAAGAAGTGAGTTGGTTGTTCAAATAGCTAAAATGCAGTTTCATCTGACCGAAAACCCAGGATTATCTGCACAGTCTCTGCAGTACCAGGGCGATGGAGACGAGAGCCGCCGAGAGCAGGGAGTGGCCCGGCTGGCCTGCGGAAGAGTCTACTTCTCTCCGGTCAGGGTCGACTGCAGGGGCCTCTGTAGTGACAAACTCAAACTCTGTGGGACATACGTCATCCATGCACCCACTGCCACTCCCTGAGCCACTGGATTCATCACCTGATGTGGACAGATTGACAAAGAAAGTTAGACCACAACCTGCAAAGACTAGAGGCATGCAACAGATTTGGGCACGGTGGAAGAAGGGGACAACTCTGGCTGGAGGGTCCCCTACCTCACCCCAATGGGTTTGCTTTTAAAAGGCAGGTATGTGACAGGAGGTGGACTGTATCAAAATAGATGTCTGAAACACGATATTCATTGGTATTTAGAGTTACCTAATGAAGGAACACATGAATTCCAGACCTGAGGGGAGGCCACATCTAGCATGTTGGCATTTGAAAGGTATTTCTTATTCTAGCCAATGTTTAAATTACTTTAAGAAATTCCATTGTATGATTTTCTTTTTTTTATACCTCGGAGCCATTGTTCTTAGCAGTTATACTTTTATAAAGAATTTTGAAAAGATTTTTTAAAGTAAGGAGGAGTAATAGTAAATAAGAGGAAAACAAACACAGCAAGTAGGAAATCAGAGGAGCAGCAGCACATAGCTGTGAAAGGCACGTGTTATTATTACTTTTGGCTACTTTCTCTTCTCTCTGTTCTCCTCCTAAGAGCAAGGATAGACTTGTCTCAGCCAGCCTCTCCCTTGAACCAGCGGTCGACTAACTACGACTTGCAGGCCAACCTGGCCTGCTACTTGTTTTTCTATGGCCCATAACCCAAGAATGGGTTTTATGTTTTCAAGTGTTTTTTTTAAAAAATCAAGTGAAAAATAATGTTTTGTGACACGGAAAGTGTGTATATGTAAAATCTAAACCTCAGTGTCCATATATAAAGTTATAATGGGATGCAGCCATACCCATTCACTTATTCATTGCCTAATTCAGTGTTCACACTTGGCTCTCAAAGCTGAATGTCTTTAATATCTGTCCCTTTACAAAGAAAGTCTGCCATTCCCTGCTTGAAATCGATGTCCAGGTGTCCACACTGTATGTGGCGTTAGCGCAGCATCTTTCCTGCTTGCCCAACATGTCTCTGGGCCTGCTCTATTCCCATTTCTCACTGCCTGGTTCCTTCTTGTTTCATAAACCTTGTGTCTCAGACCTGAGTCCCAGGTCTTACTAGCTCTGTGCAGTTGTGTTATTAACTCGTATTCTTGTTTCCTGTTAGTCTCCTCCGTGAGAATGTAAACTCGTTGAAAGCAGAGCCTTTGTGTAACTGTTCACTTCCGATCGCCACTGCCTTTAACAGTCTCTAGCATACAGTTGGTACTTAGTAAACACTTGTTGAAATAAATGTCCCTTAGGCCATTTGCTCAACTTCTTGTCAGTTTCTTCATCTCAATAAATATGGACAATAACATTTATCTTGCAGAGTATGTGTGGTATGAAGACATCCTGATAAAAATGTGTGAGAACACCCAACCCAATATTTGCTATAATGCCTGACAGAAAAAAAAAATACAATTTCTACAGCAAAGGCAACCTAGATTTTAACTTGCTGCATTTTATTTAAGCGAACCAGGGTAAGCCAGTAAGCCTCGTCGAGGCGTTGTTTCTTCTGTAAAAGTGAGAACAACTCTCACTTTTGCAGAATTGTCATGTTCCTGGGAGGACCCAGAAAACTGTAAAACTGGTAATGACATTTATTATTTCCCCACTTGCTTGGTGAGTCCATCCAATAGCCCTAAACTCCTCCCCACTGGCCCGAAACGGTGCTGTGCTTGTTAAACTGCTCCTGAAAGCCTGGTGCCATCCTACTGCTTGATGCTACTTAAATGACACCAAGGTGACGCTGGGACTCTTCTAATGTTTCCTGAATGAGAAAGGCACTACTCGTCACATTTTTTTTTTTTAACAGGACATCTAACTACCAAATAAAGTGACTAGAATATACTATACCCGGTTCTTAACATTTTCTCTAATTTATCGCTAGTGGCCTTTACAAGAGGGAAAATGCCCAATAATTAGATTCAGAGATATCAGAATTGCTAAGGGGATAGTTCTAAACACTAGTATTATGAACAAGAAGTAATATAACCTTTACAAAGATATTATTAAAGTTATTTAGAGTATTGAAAATGTGGTAAGCAAATAATGACAGGAGATTCCAGCTGAGAAAAATAATAGCCCTGTCTCTTTCTGAAAAGGAATCATAAATGGAGGTATTTAAGAAGCGATTTTTAAAAATGTCAAAAGCAATAAGAGTGATGATGGCTAAAAGATGTGACAATGATTTCTGTGACGTACGCTGTCCTAAAATAAAGGGTCAGATTTGGTGCTTGGGTTAGAGTTGAGTGATGCTCTCAATTACTGCTGATTTTCATTTCCTTTTGAGGGAAAATAGAGCAAAATTTCTTCTCAAGGATGTTCTCTAAGCATTGAAGTTTGACATGCACATAACCTCTTTAGGTAAGAGAAGAGAGAGAAACAAGGCCAATATCAACTAGTTCTTATGTATCTTGAATAATTTATTATCCAGATAATAAAGCCTTTTTGTTAGCTAGAGAAGACAAAACAGATAAATTGAGATAAGTGAGGCTAAGTAATGAGCTTGGGAGAAGCAGAAAAGGCTAAAACCTTGTGTAACATTCTCTTCTGAAGAGAAAAGGAGAGGCTTAGTAAAGAGGAAGAGAAATAATGGGATGACTCTGAGAAGTTTTACAGCAATAAAGTCCATTGGGTTGGCAATTATCCTGCATTTAAAAAATTATTTTTTGAGTTCTTTAAAACAGAATAAAGCACTAAAAATTTTCTGCAGGGGATAACTCTGTATGATGATGGCTAAGACTTAGATGACTTGATGTCTTCCGTCTGTAACTTCTTTCTATTCATTAATTCAAGCACACAAGCATCATCTTTTGCTTCAGTGACCAAATTATAGAAACGCTGGCAACTCCACATCTTATGTTCAAGAAATCTTTTCTTGAGAAACTCTCTCTGTAAGAGTACTTACTTAAAAGAAAACCAAAACAACAAAACAAAATTAAAAAAACTTGTCTTAATATGCATCTTAAAACCATTTAGACAAAACCCAAATATAATGTTTCACGTCAATGTTCACTTAGTAGACTTTCAAATCATTTCTGATGCTTTTGTGATATTTAATAAAATAGTCAAGTGTAATATTACATCAGGATTTTACTATTTCTTTCAATATTTCAGAAACGTGTCAATGGTTCCTGTATGTATATGACTGGTTAGAGACAAAACTACACAGTTGGATCTATGGAACATGACATATTATCTTAGTTCCTTTAAATATAGCCTCAAATAAATTTGCCAACAACCTCTTAGGCAGGGCTGCTTTCAATTCTATAAAAGAAGAACCTGAGACTCAAAAAATAATTTGTTTAAGATTCCAGTTCATAAATGATAAAACAGGAATTCCAGCCCAGGCTTGTCTGAGCAATCTTTAAAACATTCTTCTTTTGCTGATTGGGGTAAGGGAAGGGAGCAGGATTTTGAGGCAGAGACATTAATGCTGATGGGGAAAGGAGAAAGTGGAAACATTACATCGTTGCTTTATCATTAATGGATCAACTGGCAGATGAAACTCAATTTTAGCTTTGGTATGGCTGAGCGCAATCCACTGAAACAATTCTTTACGGCCAGTTAGGATTTTAGTAGTATCTTAAGTTTTGTGGATCAGAGCTTTCTGTCCAAAGGACCATAAACGGCTTTGCGGACTGGGCAAGAATGGCACAAGATGAAAGATGAACATTGCTACTGAAGAAAATGATGGTATAATCTTCTACAACCATTTTTCACTCTGGAGTTTACTGGCACTGGTAAAGACTGTCTTACTTGTGTCTTGGAAGTTGACGTCGTTGCCGTTGTATGCATTCTTTAGTTTGTTGGTCATCACACGGAGAGCCATGATCTGCTGCCTAATGAAAGTGTCGGGCCTAGTGATGTCCACGTCGACCTCAGGATTATTGATCTGGTTGGTCAGCCCATCATTCATAATTTCAGGCAAGTATCTGCAGGGCACAGAGGGAAAGAACGGATGAGGATGAGGCAGAAGGGACCTCGGGAACAGATTCTTCCATGTTTTTTCTAATAGTGAGCCAAAACATCTGCAAAAATTGGGCTCGGTTCCTGGAAAAAAGGCCAAAGTAAAGACATAAAATAACTTTTCTCAGAGGAAGATAAGGCTGCAATGGCTTCTGAGTAGTTTTTAAAATGGCACTGAATTCTTAGGTAGGCTTTCCTACAAATGAAAGCACAACTGCAGACTTACAGAAATTATTACTTAAAATTAACTATTTTTTCTCCTTTGTCCCAAATGTTAGATACTTAAATCAAGGACTTGATAGCTTTCTCAGCTCTCCTGAGGAAGAATCGAACTTGTAAGAACTCAGCT